TTCACGTCAATCTCTATGACGCCCGGATCGAAAGACCGCGAGCCGTGGTGTTTGCTTAGGATGGGCTGAGGTCTTGGCCATTTATCTTGAAGTTGTACAGGTCGACCACAATTGGCCCGGGAAGTACAGGTGAGGCCTTGACTTAAAGCTCACGCTTAGTGAACAACCACTCCTGTTTCTTTGGCCCATGGATCGGACATCAGCCGAAAGGGCCAAGTCATTTCCTTTTTATGTTCCTTCCGGGTCTTGTCGCCTTTTTGGAATATTGTTTGTTTTCTTGTCTTGAGTGTGTTTTGGAGGTAATTGCCTCGAGGACAACGTTGGATCGGAACCCGATGGAGGAGGAGAACGTGATCGACGAAAGGACCCTGGGAGGAGGAGACCTTGCTGATCGACTACATCGACTAACGAAGATTTGTACCACTACTACCTTGACATCGCAGGTGTCATGGCAGCACCCTCTTTTAGAGAATCCTATTAGACATTGCATAATATCTAGAACTGCTAGCGCTTTATAATTATTCCTTTGCTAGTACTTTGATGCATGCTACTACCTGAGCCATTATTACCCTGATGCAACCCACTCTACCACGTCACCCTACTTTGCGCATTCGCTCGCTTATATATGCATACTTGCCTGCTTGCTTGCATATTACACCACTATACTTATTATTAACTCCACTTCACATTATATCAGGGATGTGATGCTAGTGGTGAACCCCCTGGGAATGGTTTGGCTATGGGTGCCGGACTTGGTGGTGCGTGAGCGTGCTGCGTGTGTCTTGGGTGCGTGGAGAGTGAGGGTTGTGTCGACCGAGCTGGAATAACGACGAGCCTGGGGCGAGTCTTGCCATGTGGTGCTACCTGGGCACTTGGATATGGAATACCTATGGCGGGTAAATGGTAATTGGAGGTGGCCTTGGGTATGAACCTATGATGGGAGGAGCCCAGGGTGGAGGTGCTGTGGTGGCACGTAAAATGGAAACCCTGATGAAGATATTCTGGCTTGGTCAAACCCTAAGGACTTACTAGTACTTAGATTCACCGGGAATCCTTTACATCCCACTCGACCTATATGGTGCGGGACGATCGGACTACTTGGTAGAGCGATGCCACTACTGCTAGGCGAACATGTGCAAGGAGGTACGGGGCGCGCGGTTTTCCCCCACACCCTTCCGAGACTTCAGGAGGCCTTGTGGACCCGGCTCTTGACATCCGGAGGGCCCCGGCTCTATCTACGACTCACAGTATCAGCCATCCCAGACTAGACTTGGGATGTTCCAGGGCTGAGAGGTAGGGTGGCATCGTTCTAGGCTAGCAAGCGACTGGAATTCTGCCTAGGAGATACATGGCTCCGAGGATGGCTAATCTTGTGGGTATGTAAAACCTCTGCAGAGTGTATGGTTGATCGATCGATACATATGCCGACTTGTCGGCTATGGACCTTTCCTAGGTTTCGCTTAAACTAGATAGGAGATGAGTCCTTCTTTTCTCCCTCCAGGGTTGGGGTATTTTCCGGTCATGAGCCTTGGGGGCTGCGGGCCGTTGAGACAAGGCCGAGAGGGAGTTGGCCTGTCGACCTGAGTGTGTGAGATGAGATATGGTGTGGTGGTGTGGAGATGGTTTGGGATGGATGGTTGGTGGATGGATATGGATGGTGTGGTGGTGAATGTGTTAAAAACTGGATATTATTACTATATTACTAATGTTATTTACTTCTCATGCGCTAAGGATGCAAACCACAGCCAAATATTAGTATCGCCAGATCCCTTGTTTATCTTTTCCACTAAAGCTCATCGGTGCTGACCATGGCCTGCACACATCTGGCGGTGTGCAGATTTCCTGCTTCTCAGAGATGCTGACTTTCAAAGGATTAGGAGGTCTCGTGCCTACGCTCAAGTTTGGTTCGGAGATGGAATCTACGCTGCACTACGCCAACTCTGATGATGACCCGTGAAGGAGGAGCCTTCACTCGATAGTCTTCCACTAGATTAACTCTGTAATAGGTGTGTTCCCCAGTGATGTAATATCTTGTATTTTTGTAATCTTACGATGTATGACTGTGACATCGACTGAAATATGATAATATGATGGAATCAATTCTTGGTTTTATCATATTAAAATTCATTCTGTGGATTTTCCCTTCAAGAAAAATTGAGGATGTTTCACCTACTGCTCTTGTTATGTCCAGCATCATCAAGCAGTTCCCATGGGTACCTGCATTTTTTGTTTTCGAAGTGTTTTGAGTAGGCAAAGACTGAACGCAAGGCACCCACCATTCAAGGTTGAAGTTGTACCGAGTTTCTTGTTGCCTCTCGCCAACTATGGTAATTTGCAATACTCCCTTTCACAGTTTCTCCTTTGATCCGAAATTCTCTCTGTATTCAGCTTAGCCGCCTTGAGTAGAGATGGCAACGGGTACAGCCTCCCCATCCCCGTCCGCGCGGGGTGAAAATTTTCCCATCCCCGCCCCCGCTAAGACTCATGGGGGACATTTTCTTCCCATCCTCGTTCCCTGCGGGGAATACATACCCAACGGGGATCCCCGTCCCCGGTACATGATGAAAGAACAACTGCTCAAATCAACAATCCAAAAGTGTATAAAATACCAAAAAATACTCATCTTGCAACAACATCAAACAAGATTGTAAAATAGTTTACAGATCACAAATCCCTTTTAGGCTTCGTTTGGCAACCTATGAAAGTGTATAAAATACCAAAAAAAAACTCATCATGCAACAACATCAGACAAGATTCTAAAATAGTTTATAGATCACAATTCCCTTTTAGGCTTCGTTTGGCAACCTATGGTTAGGCGTGGAATGGAGAGCAATCCCGGTCATCCATGGAATGAGACTCACGTATGGGAGGGCATCCCTCGTCAGCTGAAGATGCATTTGGCAACAAGGTAATAAATAGCGGATAGCGGGGCTATAGCGGATTGACTTCTACATCGTGGGTTGCAGATAGCGGGCGCTATAGTGGACGCTAAGTTCCAATAACATTGTCCCATAATCTCATATAATTTAGTTATATGTATACCTTAAAAATGACTTTCTTATGCATTAACAAATCAACTAAATACAAATAAAATGATAGACTAATAAACATATAACTGAAATAGTATAAATATATATTTAATTCTATTCGAAGAGTTGATTGTCGACCAAATATATCTTAAATTAAGAATGAACTAGTTTTGTTCTGGACTTGGCCACTATAGTAGCTTGCTGCGTCAAATTGCGGGTGCTAAGTTCCAAACCGCTATATCCAAGCCGTTACGTCATAGCGGTAGTGGTAAGGGGCCGCTACCGCTATTGTGGTCGCTATAGCAGCCGCTACAAACATTGTGGGGGTATTAGTTGCCTAGACCGAAGGTTAGTGTAGAGGCAGATGTTCTCAAATTACCAGGTCTTGCATCATCTTTAGAAATTAATTCTGCTAAGAAAAAGGATACTTTGTTTGTTTGGTGGTTTTATCTGAATTAGTGGTAGTTCCATTAATAAATTCCCTATCCTCTGCAGTTTATTACTCTATTCAGTTTGCACAATGTAAATTAAATTGCAGCATGCCAAATTCCCTCTAGTTTACAGTTTACTCTTTTCACTTGTAGTTCTAACAGAACAAGTAGTTTCCTTGCGCAAACTGATCATGTTTTTTTGGTTTTAAGTAATTAATTAGCTAATCATTTCATTGTATGGTCAATCTCTTTGCTAGGGCATTCTATTCTGTTTTATTTGTTAGTAATGATCCTTTCTCAGATTGTCTCGGACTGCTTGTGTGTGTATTCAGCTGTAGCTGCTAGTATTGCATCTGCAATTTAATTTACATTGATTTTTTCTATATAGTCTTGCTTTTGTTGTAAGCATGATCTGAACGTTTCTTCTAAAACTAAATTAACTACAGTGATCGACATTTCGTGCCAGGATAGGTAAAGGCATCAGGTGTAAGTCGTCCAGGGTAACTAATTTAACTTTGGTCCGAGCAAATTGTTGGTTATAAGATAAACAGGGGAGATACAAGGGTGTTTGTTAATTTTCTCATTTGGTTGGCTGCACCTCATAGGGTATAGAGGAACTTCTGTTACAGATGTCAATTTTCCACTGACAAGCCTGGGAAAACAGTACACTAGTATACAGCACCACTATATATGCTGTTTTTCAAGATTTGCTTTGTTAAATCAGCACATCACATTGATTATTGCATTTTCTTTTCTGTTGCATTGGTCCTATTATAAGCCTTGTTATTTCATACTGATATGCGGTGCTAAATCAGTTCAGCACATTACTTATTTCGTCACGTTGAGTTACTGAGTTTGGACCCCTCACTGCCAAACGAAGCCTGAAGCTTAACCTGTCATTGCTGGCACGCTTGGTTCTGTTGCCTCCCCTTTCCTACACAGTAACACAGGTGAAGAGCCTTCACAAGTGATTGCATTTTCCTGCTGTCACTGGATTTGTTATCATGACCCACAACAAATGCTCGTCTCTTGTCTCACTTATCTCACGTTTCTACCTCGAGATTTTGACGTAATGGATGTAACTGATCAATTTACTATGACGTAGTTCAAGTTGGTACTTGGTAGGAGCAACAATATATTGCGGTCGTCTAACATAGTTCCGTATAGGCATGTGGAAGAATGACACGCTGCTTTGAAATTACTGATGCCAAGCTGCCATAAATTCAGAACTTCCTCTGGTTCTTTACACTCGAGTAGGTGGTGGTAACAATATAGTGGAGTTCATATTGGAATCGTGGTGCCATCGTGATCTTGATGCAGCCGATCCATTATCAAGAGATGCACACAAAAAATGGCACATGTGCAAATGCGTGTATTTGATCAACTGTGACGGAATAACCAACCAACAGCACTGCAGATCTTCCTACAGCTAAAAAATAAAGTGAGGCTTATGAATTGCTTAACCATTGCATATAAATGTATAAAAAGACTGTAATACATGCTAGCTAACGATATTGCTGTCCGTCTCGGGTGACCCATCTCAATGACATGAATTTAGCAGGTCTTTCAGCTCGTCAGCAATGGCCCGGTAGCAGAACTTGTATTGTTCCTGAAGAGTAGAAATATGCTATTTTTAGAACATCAAAATAGTTTGTAGCCCATGCACACATTTATATAGAACATCACTTGTACTGTATCTTTATGATGAAAAGGTCCATTTGAAACTACTGATAACTGTTTTGCAAATTGTAATGTGAGAGACTTTTTCAAGGCTATATTTCATGTGCTGAAATTATGCTGGGCATGTGATATCTTTTAGGTGAAAGTCTGAAACAGACCGCACAATCAACAAACAACAGCAAGCCTTTTAGTCTCAAGCAGTTGGGGACTTGGGGTAGGCAGTAGGCTAGAGATGGAACCCAACAAGAGCACCAACAATACGTCACATGAGTAAAAATGAAATTAAAATAAAGCACAACTTACCTCCGTTTGGACCATTCCAGGTCGTTGGGATCTAAAATTCTTTACAGTTTTGACAAGATCGTAAGAGCTTTTATCTCCAAGGACAATTCGCTCAATTGTATTATGGATTGTGATGTAAGCACCAGTTCTTCCGATACCTGCACTGCAGAAAGATACAATAACAGTGTTAATAGAATAAAATGCACGTGCAGGTGACACAGCTGAGCTGAAGGAAACCTGCAATGGATAACTATAGGATGTTCCGTTGGAATGTGATGCAGTCGTTTCCAGATTTGCCGTACAGCATCAGTATTAGTTGGCACTCCATGGTCGGGCCAATCAGGATATGCTAAATGGAGTACAGAATGAACCTTGCCTGACTACATTATGAAATTTACAGTCAGAATAACCTTTAGTCATGAAATACCTATAGATGTACAGGGCTAATAAGAAGTAATACAGATTTTCAACCACCACTCAAAAGGTACAATAAGTATGACATCTACCAGTGATGATGGCCACATCCTTTGTCACATGTGACCAAACTGTGATCTTCATTATCACAAAATTTAATCATTTAAACATCACTAAACAATGTTATAATAAATCCATGAATAACTGATATCTTTGTACGAACCTTGGGTTAACAATACAATTATATTTCAACAATAGAGCAGAGAATTCATAAATAAAAAGAAAGGATGTCATGTGCCACCTAGGAGATCTAATACAACAAAACATGATCAGACTCCTAGGAGAGAATGAATACTAAGTTTTGGAATAAATTTTATCTATTGCTGAAAAGACTAATAGATTGAAGAAACCAAATAAGAAAACTGACGTCCATGTGTGCATTTTTTTCTTTAATAGAAAGAAGTCCTTAGTGAGATGAATACGAGGAACAATGAAGTAACACACACATGGATGTCTTTCCAATTTCTTTACCTCATTGTTTTGCACCTTGACAACACGCAACTGTAAATGGTGGCTATCTGTTCTTGTCTTCATAACCTTGATATCATAATTCCCATATGTTCGTCGTCCACTTCCCCGTGGAAGATATTCATCACACTGTCATTAATTAAACATAATTTCATCAACAGGCCAGATGAAATATTTGTGTTTCAAAGCATATATGTATATAGTACAGTGAAAACCAGTGGATCTTCCTACGGTTGAAACTTCATCATCATTACCTATTACTCTAGCAAAACCAACGACCTAGGACTCCAATACCAAACAACGCCTAATCACGTCAGATACTTGTACGAGTCTAGAGAAGCTTTATAAAAATCACCTGTCAGCTGTTTTGCTCCTGAAAAAGTAACTTATGGGATCATGTTACTTGATCACCAGTGCCAACAATCAACCAATGTTATCAAATTGTCTAGTCGACCCTAGTCACCATGGGACCGACCAGGTGAGTAATCACGATTAGTCGTAGACCAGCTCGATTAGTCGAGCCTAGTCAGTCCTAGTCATCCATATAGCTGTCCTGTATCTTCCAGGACCGATATACTATATAGTATAAAGCAAGCATGAAGAGTCTAAAAGCACTAGGGCACAGATTCTTGTGAGATTTGATGGCCAGTTGGCCGCATATCCACATATGCGCATACATCACACAGCCACACAGGTGTACGTAAGCACTAAGCAGAGAGCAGCAGCAGTAGAACATGAGGCAAGGGCAGCAGCAGTAGAGCTAGAGCAGCAGCAGCAGCAGCAGAGCTAGAGCAAGGCAGAGAATCAGAGTCGTCAGTGGATGTAATTGGAGTCATGGGACCGATCAGTCAGCTTAATCACGATTAATCAGACGACTTGATAACACTGCAATCAACTTATAGGATATTATACTACTCACTACAAAACATTACTCCCTCCGTTCATCTACGATCTGTACTACTCACTACAAAACATTACTCCCTCCGTTCATCTAGTTTTTGTGTATTTGGGGAAGACACGGAGACCAAGGAACGTCATACTTCCACCAGTGCATTAACTCTATCATTATCTGGCACAAAGACGCTTCTGTTAGTCAGTTAGCTTCTTGGGTTTTGATCAGCAGGGCCAGCAGTGGCAGAAGGAAGGCGAACGAACGATGGAGCTGAGGGCAAAGGAGGTGAAAGGGCAACGTCATGCGACAACCATTTACTTGGCCACAGCCCTGCGAATGGCCATGCGCTGTTGCTCGAGAAAAAAACAGCTCCGCACTTGCGAAGATCTATAGCGAATATGTTTTCGAGTGTAATATATGTACAATAAAAACGAACGGTGGGAGTATAATCAATCGAGGAGGACTGTACCACTTAGATTCACTATTTGTGAGTGATGAGAGCACTTAGGAAAATCTGGATTATATTTTCTTTTGAATGAAAGACCATGAAATCCCATCATCAAAATAAGTAATAGGTCTAAATGTACACAAGGAACTGGTTACAACACAACATCTCAACAGAAGCACAATATCCAAAGAACAGCATGAAACAGGATGCCAAACTAAAAGGAGAAAAGCAAAACAACAACACAACGTTAGCTCAACAGAAGCACAATATCCAAAGAACAGCATGAAACAGGATACCAAACTAAAAGGAGAAAAGCAAAACAAATAATTCATGAGCTTGCATCTAATGTTTTTCTTCCAAAAGAATTCTAAACTTGCATTAAGTTTTCTGCCTTTATCATCGTTTAAAGGCAACTTATACTTAAGATCTCATATGGTATGCATGCTTATTATAGTACTGTTCGTAGCAGTGCTTAAATATGCAATGAAACTGTGTTAAAGTTAGAGGTGTTGTTCAGCTTAGAGAATTAGTTAGGTGTACATCTAATGGTTAAATTTACGACTTGGAATTTGCATTGGGAATTCTACCACACTTATCATTAAATTTGCATGGCCCTATTGTTCCACATACCAGTTATCTTAAGCACACAAAGGGTTCGAGCCAGAAACACGCTTGGCCCAGGCTTATCAAGTGTTAATACAAGATTAAGTCATTTGAATTTTGAACCTTTGACATTTGCACAATGTCTAGAGGATTTGCATTGCCTTTTTGGCTTGGAACCCCAGGCCCTGGCTCCTCCAGTGAGTACACAAGGTTATACATTTATGAGTTCCAGCATGACAGTTGACAGATTTTATTACCTTAATTAATACAACAAATACTTTATTTGTTCAACATGTCAATTAAAGGAAGTTGTGAAAGAGGTAATGTGATGCAAGCACTTATTACCTTAATACTGTCGAATTGAGTGAGCATGACAATTGCAGGGCACTGATATTCATAGATCATTTCCCAAAAATCTCCAAATGTCCTCACTAGTGGACCTTGTGTAGAAATAAATGTTGCAACTCTGTTGTCCTTAGTAGCCTGCAAGTTTCATACACCATAACTTTAAGCTACTCCTGATTCCTGAATTATCCCAAACACGATTCAGGAATAAACTACAACCTGAGATGCATAAAAAAATGGCACACAAGTTTTACCTTTATAAAGCTTGCGTTGATGTAATCGTTGTTTGGAGGTCGTGCTGAGGATTTTAGCTGTACTCTGGTATCATCAACTAAACACAAGAAGAAAGGAATCAAATTCAACTTTGTAATGCTTTTAGTTCTAGGGAATCTTGCTTGTTGCACACGAGTAATAATCACAATGGTAACAAATGCAGGCAGAGAACCTCACATGGTAAGACATCAATATATCGGTTCTTTTCTCTATTAACAGGATAATGAGCTACACTGATCGTTTTCATATGTCTAATATCCTGCAAAAGTGGCCATGAAACATTAAATACTTAAATTCATAGATTTCATCATGACTAGAAGCATTCAGCAGCCTGCTATAAAAATTCAAAGCATATTATATAATAAATACAACATGATGTCTGCTTCAAAAGAATAAAAATAATATGAACTGTTGTGTTCTGTAAGACAGTTTCTGAAAGTTTTGAAGGATGGGAGTTATATTGTTTTTCAATACAACATCTATAGATCTTCATGCATTTGTATAAGACGCCAAAATTGGGCTCTCAGAATGAAGAACAGCCGATCAACAGATCATGAAGGCGTTGGTTGATATGGCGAATTGGCCATATTACATAATGATCTCCAAGAAGGTTAATGAAACAATGATATGAATAAATATATCTGTCATAGATGGCTGGGAGGAAAATATATAGGTTCCCAAATCAAGAAATTGTACCCCTTCTGTCCATCATGTAAGGCATATTTTGATTCAAAAATAGTCAGACCTTGCATCTTTTGACCAACAATTTGAAAAATTTTGTGTGTTTAGTGTAAAAACGCTGTGTCAATAGATTTGTACTCAAAGGTCTTCTAAGATAATGTTGATTTTATAGCAAATGATAACATATAGCAAGAGAAACTAATAAAAATCAAAATGTACTTATGAGGACTTTTCCCTGAAAAAATACACCTTACATTTATGAATACCCTAGAGTAAAGAAACGTTGGCAACGTTTTCTTCTATATAGCGATAGAAATCAATCTCGAGCCTGATAGCAGTGATATTCTACTATTTTTATATAAGAAAAAACTACTCATGATTAAAATTGTATTGCAGTTGAATTTAGCGAAGACATTTAACTTATTGTAGTATCCATACACGGCATACCAACACACTCCGATCAGATCCCCAATGCTTCACATTAAAGCAACCCAATAGCAACAGCCGTGCTTTGCTTCGAAGCAAAACAAGCAGAATCGAACGACAATCATCCATACCGAGAGGCTTCTGTACTCATTGGACAAGTCATCCCAGCGCTTCCCCTTTTCCTCGAAGTGCGCGAGCGCGTCACTGCAGAGCCCGATCTGCTAGGGCGTCAGCTCAGGCCGCGGCGGCGGGTTGGTATCGACGTCGAAGGGGTTGAAGGCGGCTCCGGGGGCAGGAGCCCGGGAGGAGGAGGACCCCGGCTCTGGGGGCCGGGGCGATCGGCGAGGAAGGGCGGCGGCCGCCCTCATCAACATGCCACGGAGGCCGCCGCCTCCGCCACCAGGGCGTCCGCCGGCGCGGGAAGCCAGAGCGCTACCCGAGGATGCTCCGGAGGCGGGGTCGCGGCAGCGGTGGTGGTAGAGGGGAGCGGGATGGTCCGCCGGAGACGTCGGCGTTGACCGTGGCGGCGTAGCGTCGTGGTCGTGGACCTGCGTCTAATAAATGAAATAACGAATAAAAATTGAATAAATTCTCCTCCCTTAATATTTTATTACAGAGAGGAAAATGGCGGAATTGTTTTATTTCTACTAGGCTTCATTAATGGGCCGGGCGGCCCGTGTTCATCCCAGAGGACATACACGAATTCTCTCGATTTGGGCCTCTTGTGAGTGGTGAGAACGTGACTACGTGAGAAATGTTGATGTAGTCTGATTTTATATTTTTTTTGCTAAAAAAAGTCTGATTTTATATTTAGACTTTAAAACCAAACATTTACCCTTTCATTTCTCAAAACTATTTAAATAGCTTCTCAGTGGTTTTCATGATGGTTTCGTCATTTTTATAAATTTTTCAACTTGATTAATATATGATAAGATTTCTAAACCACGAAAAATGTCTCTAAGTTTTTAAAATTTCAAGAAAAAAATTCTAAACATAGATTGAGAAATAACAGCCCCAAATAAAATACTTAGATCTTGTGAAAGTATCTTTAAAGGTTTTGAAAAAAATAGCTCTAGGAAAATAGGAAAAATATGCCAAAGTCTATTAAATTCCCAAAGCATCTTAATCGATGTTTAAAAATCTTTTGAAAAAATTTCACAACAAAAACATGAAATGCAACCAGCATTTGATGTATGTTGCATTCTTTATGGTTACATTTCATATTTTTGTTGTGGACAAATTTTCAAAACGCCTTTAGACATCACTTAAAATGTTTTGAGGAAATTTCAAAGAAAATTGGATATTTTTTCTATTTTTCTAGAGTTGAATCTTATTTTTTTAGAAAATTATAGAGATATTTACACAATCTCTAAATATTTTATTTTGGTTTGTTGTGTCCAAATATCTATATGTGGGTTTTTTTATTTTTTAGAATCTTAGAGATGTTTTTTCATGGTTTAAAAATCTTATCATGTATTTACCAAAAATTTTTACTTGAAAAGGTTGAAACCGCCTCGAAAAATACGTCTAACCTAGATAGGTAGGTAATCTAAATAATTTTGAGAGTTAATTTGAATAAGATGTATGATTTTGAAGTTCAAGGTGTGAAAAGAAAGATTGTCTATTGCTAGGGTCCCATAATCAAATACTATCACTTATCGAGACTCGATGACTACTTTGAGCAGTCGATCAATGCCGAAAATATCACATCAACATTGACTCTACATTTCACATATTTTGGCACTGTTTGGATAGAAGGAACAGTTCCGACTGGAATCATTTCGGCCTAGGAACGTTTCACATGGATTCACATTTTTTTTTGCTTGGGCGAGAGAAACGACTGAAGCCTGGTTATGCTAGATTTTTTTGTTTCTAGTCGCTCCCGTATAATAGCGACTATATTTCTTCTGCTTATCCTTTTTAAGTGCAACAAGTTAAAATGGGTTGTATTCAAGCTATTCTTTGCCCACAAAAAGCTTTGAAGTTTTTGGAAGCACAATTATATATATATATATATATATATATATATATATATATATATATATTTATATAAAAACATTGTTTTCTACGTTTAGAATTTAGTCTACCAGTCAAATGGTTTCATAAAATGATTCTGATTAATCACCTAGACATTTCTTATGAGAATTTGGATCTGTAACGTTTCTATAAGAATCCGGATCCCTACTAAATGGGTCATTTGTGACCAATTCCCAATACAGAGAGCGGTCATGCTAGCAGCGGTACCTTGGCTGCGGGATCACTTCACTCGGGCTGTGTCGTTGTTGGTCTCGGCTCTGCTGGCATACCATGTCCCCTTTCTACTCTCCGATAACGCTCCACTTTCCAGCCTCTCGTACTAGGTGTGTCCTCGTGTGCATGGACGAATCCAACCATAAAGTTCATCAGGGTCATATCACATTTACACACTATAAAAAAGGTTTTACGAGACAAACTGTTTTATCAACGGAGACAATCACAAAATTTGCGTGTCCTAAAATACTAGAGGATTTTCGGAGGCGGTCATGAATTGACCATCTTTCAAAATGGATTTTCGAAGGCGGTTAGTTTATTTTCGGATGCGGTCACAAATTGATCATCTATCAAATGGATTTATGGAGACGGTAAAAAATTGTCCTTCTCATAAAATCCATTTACAGAGACGGGACGGGCCTCTTGATATTGATATTGATAAAATAAAAACAGAGTCATATGGGGGTGCTTTACAAGTGCATTGCTCTGTACATCACCAGCAATCTGCTCTCTCTTTGATGATAAACTTAAATTCAATGAAATGTTTTCATCATTATCAGCAGTCCCAAGATGGAAGTCCAATTCCTCAGCTGCAACTTCACCACCGCCATCCATTACAAGCCCCGACAGTAATTTGACCCGTGAAAACTTGCAGCATTTCAAGTCATTTAATAAATGTGCATAGTACCTAATAGTTCAAGGTTTATAAGACCATCACAAACAAAAAACAACTCAACCATTATGTACTGATTTCCTAGATTGCAAAGTTCCTTCAATTGCACTACTTGCATTTGTTACATCCATATGGGTTATCTGCTACCATGAACAATCAAAGTTAGGCTACAATAGTCAGTGTACTCTATGATGTTTCACTGCAAAAGTCAAGCATTATTGGCAAAATTATGCGATCAATCAGTGTTCTTTCTATTGCATTTTCCCACCCAATTCAGCAAGTACCGCCACTGGATGCCATTGTCCATCCTGTGCGCCGCACTAGGAGAGCGTCGAGGCATCGCGAGGCCGAGGAGACTCCAAGGCTTGTTTAGTTGGAGACCTGGGGGTTTTGCCTGGCAAAAAGTGTTGCCTGGAAGGTTGTTGCTTTTTGCCTGGCGAGGCAAGTGCGAAAATATCTATTTGGTTAGAGACCCGTGCCCGAGAACACTAACGAGCAAATATACATAATATCAATGTGTTCTTTAATATTTATAAGTGTGTGGTTAATGCAATTTTTATATAGTTTGGTTTGAATTAAAAATAAATCCTTTACATTAGTATTCTATTACATTTAATAATTAAGAAAAAAATACTTTTAATAAAAATCTCCATATGTATTTAATAAAATAATTACATATTGTACAGTAATCTTGCATGTTGAAAAGGTCTCCACGTCTTTAGTAATAATTAATAAATAACTTTTTTTTCTTTGTCCTACGCATGGTAAAGCAATAGAACCCAACAGCACTCGTTTTTGACTGCCTGGGCGTCCATCCTCTTGCCTGGTCCAGGAAGCTAACCAGGATTCCATCCAAACACAGCACAGGCAACCGTCTATCCAGGCAAAAGAGCTCCAGGGTTGGATCCAAACTAGCCCGTCCGTGCCGTACCGCCATCCGAACTCGCCATTGTCCGTTCCTATGAGAAAAGAGGCGCGACTATTGCGGATCGAAGAAAATTAAACAATCGGACTCCAACGCAAGGCCTCGTCTGGGCCTGAGCGGGCTGCAGCTGGCCCTGTGTGTGGACAAGGCGAAATTAATTAAAATTAATTAAACCCGTGGTCGGGCCCATATTAAACCCTTGGCGAAAATTAATCACCTGCTGCTTTAATATTCGTGCAACTCTCTCGGAGAGGACCACCGGAGCAAAACTCATGTATCAAATTTGGTGTTGCTGCTGGGCATCATCCAGAATAGGTGTTTGGGACTGCTCAACTAAAGTAGAGAATGTAACTACATCCAGACCAGAGGTTGTGGCGTTGGGACACAAATCGAACCTAATAAGATATCCTTGATCAGTCCCAACTGCCTAACCTAAGAATGACACGATGCTCTGTTCAGAGAGCATGCACAAGCACCATCCTGCATTAGAGGGTCACTCCAGGTGGATTAATTAATTACTCCTCCATTTGGGACATTAGTAAGGATTTCAAACATTTTTAGAACATCTTAAGGAAGAAGAGAAATGACCAATCACCCAGATACATTGGCACATCTAACGCATGCATATTGTACCCCTCAATCAATCACCAAAATTACACAAATGCAATTAATGCATGCATATTCAACTAACCGGCGGTGCCTCCTCAAGGCCTTAATGGAGCATCAATATCTCGACGGTACTTATATTTGGAATAAAATCTAATAGCTAGGAATCGTTATGTCTTGGGATGGAAGGTGTAGTATAAATTTATCTTTAATCAAAAATAATATAGCAGTGGTTTCCCATGATGGTGATCACCAAACCCTATATCCCCCCCAAATTTACACTATTTTTCCTTGGAACCACCATAATGGTAACTCATATAATAATAACTATCTCAAAGCAGTGTTTTTGCTAAAGGCTTCGTTTAAGTTTTCTTTTGTTGTGTTCTTGACTTCGAAGCCGAACATTGGCAAAGGATATAAGCAGCCTGTACAAGCTGTCCTCTACAAGCATGCACATTGTCAACACAATCTTGCAAATAAATTGTAGGACAAGGACAAATCAAGCAAAAAGATGTATTTCATTTCCAAAAGCCTCTTACAAAAAAAAAAAACAATACAGAAATAAGCAGTTTATTGATGATATCTTGGATAATGGATCATTGTATGGCATCTCTTATCTAGTTATCTTAGTTTGCAATGGATTCAGACTTACAGTCCATCCTTTCCTGGCTTTGTAGGGGTAACACCGTGAAGCCGACTGTACTCATTG